AATATTTGAGTACCTGGATCGGATCCCTTGCTGCCCAGCCAGTGGTGTGTTGACTCCTTCTGACTTGGAGGGCCTTGTTCAGTTCCAAGATGTCTCCTTCGCCTACCCCAACCGTCCAGATGCCCCAGTGCTGCAGGTGCACCTCCCAGCCCACCACTTGCTCCCCACTCTTCCACCCTAACTTTCTCCCTCATTCAGCCTGCTTAACCCCAGGCACAGGCAGATCCTCCCTGACCCCCAAAAGGCAAGATGCGCATCATCTGCCCCGAACTGAAGAACCAGTTTGGGTTTCCAAGGAGAGTGGGCCAGGGGCTCTCAGGGAGGAAGCACTCACATCCAAAGGAACTGCTAAAGGAGGATCTGTGCCCCCAGCCTCCCATCTTTCCTCTTTTCCCCTTTGTGATTTTGAATGTGATTTTCTTTTTTGTTTTCTCCTGGCGTGTGATATCAAGTGTGTGGCATAGTGGTGCTGAGTCTTTGTCCTGTCTTTGCCTCATCTTCCAGCTCTCCTCCTCTGGGAGTTATATCCCTAGGGACAGAAGTCTGTGCAGTGGGAGGGTAGGGTGACTATATTTCCCCGTTTTCCTAATTTCTTCCCTGAAATAAGACTTGACAGTAACAAGACAGCGACAGTCTCAAGGTTAGGGCCCCGGCGGCCTCTTATTGTGTGATTGATTCTCTGGCCTCCAGGGGCTGACGTTCACCCTGCGCCCGGGTGAGGTGACGGCACTGGTGGGGCCCAACGGCTCTGGGAAGAGCACTGTGGCGGCCCTGCTGCAGAACCTGTACCAGCCCACGGCAGGGACGCTGCTGCTGGACGGGGAGCCCCTCCCCCAGTATGAACACTGCTACCTGCACAGACAGGTGAGCAAGAAGGTGGTCTGGGGAGGTGGGGAGCACCAGGTAAGAATATTCTCACTGAGTGTCACTGAGCTCTCAGAAAGAAGGGTCAGGGGATGATGGGAGACCCTGTGTGGAGATGGGGGCGTGGTCAGGAGAGAGGGCGTGTAATTTTACAGTATGATATCAGTGCAGAATTTGAGTCTTTAATATCTATAGGATGATTCCACTATTCCTTGTTCCATGATTCTTTCCTGTATTTTGTCCCAGGTGGCCGCAGTGGGACAAGAGCCACAGTTATTTGGAAGAAGTTTCCGAGAAAATATTGCCTATGGCCTGACCCAGAAGCCAACCCTGGAGGAGGTCACAGCTGCGGCAGTGGCGTCCGGAGCCCACAGCTTCATCTCTGAACTCCCTCAGGGCTATGACACAGGTGTTGTATCCACGCGTGTCACCCCAGAAACCCCGATAGCCTTGCCTTTATTTATTAGTTCTTCCTGCCCCATTGATAGCAGTTTGAGGTTTTAAGGTCTGGTTCCTATGGCTTCTTCATCCTCACATCCTCAGAGCTCCTTCACCTTCCCAGAACCTTCCCTGTCCAGCTGTGCCCATTATTCCTTGCTCCCTGACTCTGTCGTATTTTGTCCTGGGCGGCTGTAGTCCTTGGTGTGTGTGTGTGCATGTGTGTGCACATGGGTCCACATGTGGTTATCCAGCTGTCATCTTGGCTCCTGTCTCTGCAGAGGTAGGCGAGGCTGGGGGCCAGCTATCAGGGGGTCAGAGGCAGGCAGTGGCCTTGGCTCGAGCACTGATCCGGAAACCACGTGTACTCATCCTGGACGATGCTACCAGCGCCCTGGATGCAAACAGCCAATTACGGGTGAGACTGCCATCTTAATGCCTGTATCCCACCGATCTCCCTTCCTTCACTCCTCCTATGTTGCTTATACTAACATCATAATTATCCAAACCAGTCCTTGCAATTCTCAGCTCCTACTAGCTTCTCCCTAAGATGCCCAGAACCAGTTACATCCTCTGAAGCCAGACATAAGGAAAAGACTACCCTAATATCAATATCAATGTTAATTGAGTTTATATTATTGCCAGGCCTGTTGCTAGACCCTTTGCATGCACTGTCTTACTCCTTTATTCACTGTGAATGCTAGTGAGCTGGCCGTTGTTAGCCTCTCTGCAGGTGATGAAATGGAGGCTCAGAGGTTGAATAGCCTGCTCAGTGTCATTCATCTGTTGAGCAGCAGAGACTGGACCCAAATTCAAGTCAATCTGACTTGAATTCTCCTGTATTTACCATGAAGTTGTACTTCTTTAAAACAGAATATAAAAATCCCCAGTCCAGAGGGAGAGAGACTATTGAATACCCTTGGCTCTTTTCTTACTGGCTTCACCATAGGACTCTGGCTTTTATTCCACTGTGGCTCCTGAACAGATCAAAGGTTTTAGAGAGAAGCACGCAGGTGGCCGCGGTGCTGGCGAGGTCTGTGGGCTCTGGGAACACCAGGCCTCCCTGAGCCCTGACAGAGTCCCTGTGGTTCCCCAGGTGGAGCAGCTCCTGTATGAGAGCCCCAAGCGATGCTCCCGCTCTGTGCTTCTCATCACCCAGCGTCTCAGCTCCGTGGAGCAGGCTGACCACATCCTCTTTCTGGAAGGAGGCACCATCTGCGAGGCGGGAACCCACCAGCAGCTCATGGAGAAGAGGGGGCGCTACTGGGCCATGGTGCAGGCCCCCGGCGGGTCAGGTGATCCGGAATGAAAGACTTCTCATGGCCCTCCCCCTTTCCTGCTGGCCATGGGGGAGAATTTGGGAGCAAAGACCTTACAGAGCTGCAGAGTAGACAGGAGCGACTCCCTAAAATATAACCCCTAGTGATACTTGAAATTCTGCCATGCGTGATAGCCTCTCTCCAAGCTCCTCTTGAGAAATGCAGATTTCCTGGAAGAAAACCTGGTTTATAACTGTGCTGTAACTGGGTTTACAGCCGGGGTCTGTGTGGCACACACTGAAAATGAGGAGAAATATTTAGAATCTACATAAAGGAAAGATCAGCTACTTTCCAACACGAGCAAAAGCATATATACGTGACCTATAAATACCCTGTGGATTGCTTGATATTTATAATAAAATCGGTGTTTTGTACTGCGTTTCCTCGCGTTTTCTCGCATCAAATGGCTCTCCGACTGTTGCAGCGCGCTTTTCCGGAGCCGGGTGACTTCTCTCCTACAGCATCCCCGTGTTTCACAGCCACAGCGAGCATTCTCTCTCCTAAGTGTTCTCTCTCTGCTTG